CAATCGAGGACAACCCAGGACAATAGGGGACAGGACATGGGATGGGTACAATCGGGGGGATGGGGACAATCAGGGACAATTTGGGACAATCGGGGCAATCAGAGACAGGACATGGGATGGAGACAATTGGGGACAATGGGGGATAATGAGGGATAATCGGGGACAATCGGGGTCAATCAGGGACAATGGGGGACAATGGGGATCAGTGTCACCCGTGACAGGACATGGGATGGGGACAATGGGGACAATGGGGGACCTGTCACTGGTGGCAGGAGCCACACGGGGTGGGGACAATCGGGGACAATCCCGATCAATCCAGATCAATCCCGATCATTCCCGATCAATCCCTGATCAATCCCGATCAATCCAGCCCCAATCCCGATCAATCTCGATCAATCCCGATCGATGCCGATCCCAAATTTCCCTTTTCCCGGGATTTTCGCTGCTGCGCGGGCTCTTGGCGCCCCCTGGCGGCGACAGAATTTTGGATTTGGGGTTTTCAGTTTGGGGTTTGGGGTTTCGGGCTTGGGATTTGGGGTTTTGAGATCTGGGGTTTGGGGTTTGGCTTGAGGATTTGGGATTCCGGATTTGGGGTTTTGAGATCTGGGGTTTGGGGTTTCGGGATTTGGGATTTGGCTTTGGGATTTGGGGTTTGGGATTTGGAGTTTGGCATTTGGGGGTTGGTGTCAGGGATTTGGGATTTTGGGATCTGGGGTTTGGGGTTTGGGATTCGGGATTTGGGGTTTGTGGTTTGGGGTTCGGATTTGGTGTTTAGGATTTGGGGGTTTGGGATTATGGATTTGGGATCTGGGATTCGGGATCAGGGATTTGGGGTTTTCAATTTGGGGTTTGGGGAGATTTGGGATTTGGAGTTTGGGATTCCGATTTGAGGCTTTGGATTTGGGATTTGGGGTTTTCAATTTGGGACCTGGGGTTTGTGATTTTGGGAACTGGGGTTTGGGGTTTGGGATTTGGGATTCAGGATATCCAGGGGAAAATCCCAAATGGACCCAAAGAGGCAAAATCCCAGCAAAAATCCCATTTTTTGGGTGCATTTTTTTTCCCTCTGGAATCTTCTGAGACTTTTCCGGGGCCTCATCCTGGAAATCGGGAATTGGGGGGAATTTTGGGGGGAAAAGGTTAAAAAAGTGGGGAAAAAAGAAAAATTTGGGAA